ATGGGAAGTAGCTGAATACATTGGATGACTGTGCTAGTAGATATCTCGCGTGGCCAACGTGGATACTGAACAACTTGGGGAAGAAGATAAGTGCATTGGAGGGATGTGTTACTAGATACCTGGCACGACCTAAGTGAAGACTGGAGTGGAGTCCGAGCATCGCAGAGCAAGCGCCGTAGCTTCGTCCACGTCGATGTCGCTGGGAATATTGACGGGCTCTGGGAGATGGATCCACTCGCGAGGAATTTTGTGGGCACGGGGCACGTCGCCAATTCGGCGAACGTACTCGGCTGCTATCGTCTTCATGACGGTCACAAATGTGGCCATCGAAGGGTGCGGAGTAGGAAACCTACTGTTTAGCTATCTATTGAAACGTTCGGGCGGGTTGTTGGTCCTCGCAACGAGCTCGTTGTCGAGACCAAACACGTTCCACACGTCAATCGTGTACTGCAGAGCCACGTCTGCTCGAAATAGCCCCTAACGGCTTCCCATTTCGCTGTAGAGTACTAGTTACGCCGCGAAAGCCAGCGATTCCACCGCTGTACTTCGGGCAACACCAGCCCGGGTTCGGTATGTCGAGGTCGCACCTACAGCGGTTGTACGAGGTATCGCAGGCTGCCCAACCGGCAATAGCTGCACCGCAGCAGCAGGCCAGGCAGCAGGCTGGAGCCAGGAGGTTCCCAGCCGTGAATCAGGACGCTGCTGTCCGGTACCCGGACGCTTGGCAGAAAAAAAGCTTGCGATTAGGCCTTTTGACGGCAAACAGCTTGATGTTGGCCTTGGTTCTGGTTTCCTGGAGTGTAGCCGACGTTTTGAACGTCACGTTAATATCGCCCAGTCGGCATGCGGTTTTGAAGACGTCGACTTACTGGCCCTTTACTTGGCGGGTACCGCGGAGAGGTACTACTACAAGCAGGTGGTGAAGTGACAGTTGGCTTCTGGGAACAAGGGACTGATTGATGAAATGTGACCTGATCCAGTTCTGAAACTCATGGTTGACGACGGCGCGTCAGTGATTACGTCGTCGTCTGTGAAGATAACGTAATCACCGGAGTGGATCGAAATGGTGCAATCATTAGGACACGCGATCTACCCTCAAGGATTCGATCTACTGTGGACTAGAGGTGTGAAGGTTCAGGCGCTGAACCATTGTAAACCTCCCGTTACGTCTGCATCCAATCGTACCCAGGATTTTATCTTCACCGCGTGTACACTTGACGATCTCGAGCGTCCAGGGAGATAACAGCGC